ATTCATGTAGGAAATTCCTTGTTTGGGATCAAGAACAATACGTTAATAAAAAAAAAAGAAAAATTTCATTTTGGTATTTTGTATTATATCAAAATATGAGTTTGATATTTTTTATTTTTTTAATAATTTCATGCTGGTACTTTGACTTTTTAAAAAATATTCTTTTAGTACCTTAAGGTAGTTTTTTAGGACATGAAAATACAAACTTCTCATTATTATTAAATATATAAATTTTTTTTTTTTAAATCTTAAACCTGTAATCAAGATTTTTGCTTGGGGCAAAATGAAGTTTAGGTGTTTAGTTGTAGGTTTAATATTTTCTTAAAAAGCTTTTTTTATATTTACGATAAGGGCATTCTGAAGCACAAATACTTTCGAGGGGGATCCTTTTGGGATCCGTTTGGTACCTAGATTCGTTCCCTGATTCGAATTATGATTCGTGGTTCACTACAGTATTTTTTCTCACAAAAAATACACGTAAATCAAAAATGATTCTAATCACATGGTTTGAATCTATGAACCAAACGCCACCTAAATTCCGTAGTTCTGACTCTACAATATAGAGAGGAATCCTCGGTGTGAGATGCTTAGTGGCGAAAGGAGCTGTGCTCTTGTTGGGTACGGTGGATCAATCGACATATGGTCAAGGCTTTGGGTTCCCTGGCTTCGATTGGGCATTCCCAGAGCAGCCTTCAATCCAAGATGCTCGGACGCAGCTAGTCACCCCTTAAATGATAAAAAAAGCATCGGATTTGCTCCTCCCAAACTCTAGGGAGTGGAATGTTAGCCTAATTCAATCATTGTTTGATGACGAGTCGTGCGAGGCTATTTTGAGGACCAAACCTATACAGTAACCAACCTGTGATATTTTGATGTGGAGGCCCTTTAAATCGGGGAAATTTTCAGTCAGGAGCGTGTACAAGTTCCTAGCAAATGAAGGGGAGGATATGGAGTGGGAGTTGGGCAAGAGGATTTGGAAATTGAAATTCCATGAGCGCTATAAAGTGTTATTGTGGCGGATGGCAAAAGGAGGCCTTTCTACCTGGGCCCGGATGGAGATGTTTTCTACTGGCGTTGTGTGTTCAGTTTGTGCAAGTACCTTGGAGAATGATGCTCATATTTGCCTCATGTGCCTAGTTGCAAAATGTGTCTGTTTGCTAGTCCTTGGGGCGTTAAGACAAACAATTTACCTCTTCAGAATGGATTTGATTGTATCGAATGGTCACTGAACCCCGTCATGGTATTCCAGCTGAAGAATTTATTATTTGGGGCGCCATATGCTTCTACAAGCTGTGGAAAATGTGGAATGAGCGAGTGCTTAAAGGACTAGACTACTGCTGGAGGCAAAGTTGGAGGTGATCAACTACTTGTTCAACGATCATAAGCGAGTTTTGACGGGGCAATCTCAGGTCTCTGAAGTTGCAAATAGTTTCCCTTCTGATGATTGTCCTTATGGTTGTAATATCCTTTATTGTGATGTTGCTTTTGCGGGAAACAAGGCAAGGCTTGGAGTAGTTTTGCGCAGTTGCCATGGTAATGTCCTCAAGAGATGACTCAAAGTCCTATGAAGCAAGTTCGGCCTTAGACGCTGAATCAAAGGCTTATGAGCTTGCTGTTAGGCTCTCTTTACCTCTCGAGGGCCCTCTTGTAGTGGAAGGGGATTATAAAGTGTGCATGGAGGCTTTGTTAGCCAGAGTGCCTCCTCCGAACTGGACAGTGCTTTCATCCTTTCTTCATACTATTGCGGCAATCTTAAATCCTTCTAGGATAGTTTTCAGATGGATTCCTAAGTCTGATAATGTTTTGGCTCACGAGCTTGCTCGAAAGGCTTTATTTCGTAATATTAATAATGTTAAAACTCTGGAGGAAGAAGTCTCTCTGTGACTTCTGTTTGCTGCTTCCGGGCTTTAATAAAGATGTTTATTCATAGCAAAAAAAAAAAAAAAAAACATTATCTCATCATCTACGTACTTGGCTTTCATTTGCAAAGGTCCATGCACATGTGATGTAAGGGTGTTCGACGGTTAAAAACCACCGGTTTTGGTCGGTTCGGTGGCCAAACCGATCATGTTAGTTTTCTAAAACCGGACACCGAAACCGAACCGCAAAAAGTACTATTTGGTTCAGTTAACCAAACTTCAGTTGCCAGTCGGTTTTTAGTCGGTTTTGGCAATCACGACGGTGACCATCAGGTTATCAACATCTTTAGTTATATTTTTTTTTTATCAAAAAATGCGAAAAATATACATTATAGCATCATACTAAAAAGTTTAAATCATTTAAAGTTCTAAAATAAGTTTTATCATAATCTAAGTCCTTACATAGTTGTTGTCCATGAAAATGTCAGTGACTCAGTAACAGTATCCATTCTTTGAAACTTCACCAAAAATTCATTTTAAAACATGGTTGGACGAAATTTTGTAGAGAGTAGCCTGATGTCTACTTTAAGTCTACAAAATTTCAGCTTCAAATTCAAACTATAAATAGAGAAAACAGACCCGTAATGTACACTGCCTGCTATTAAAATTTCATATTCATTTAGACATTTTCACAAACAACTTGCATGCAGCTCAATAAAACACGTAAAAACAGCATAAGATTCAATCTAATCTGCCCGAAATAACAATTATACACAATAATAAGGTAGAAACAACAACTGTATGTTCGATTTTCGTCATAATGTGATGATCCGAAACTGAACCACTTTCAATCTTGCTACGAATACCAACTATTCTATTTGCTCACATTACTCCACGATGATGGTGAGAGTGACCACATTCATCATACCACCGAAGATTTTTGTTTGCCGCTTTCTCCGGGCCTAGGGGATATGCATAGAGCCCAGGGTTATCATTGTAATGGCATCATTTGCCTCGCTAGTAACAGAAGTGAGTATCGAGATCGCATAATTATGTGCAACCCCGCGATTTAAGGAATTCAGAATTCTTCCTCAACCAGTGCTTCTTGAAGACTTCATATTGAGAGGAGCAGGATTGGGGTATGATTCTAGAGCTGATACTTACAAGTTCATTAGATTTGGTTGTGATGATGCTAAAAATACCATAGCTGAGATGTACAATATGAGCTCTAATTCTTGGAGAGAGATTGGGATTCATTTGGGAATTGATGATGAATGGATTTGTTAAAGAGGGAGTATTTTGCAAAGGAGCTCTTTCTTGGGTTATACGGAGTTCCAGAGACAAGCCACTTTCTTTTGATTGCTCTAATGAGGAGTTTCATACCTTACCCTTACCAGATTGTCTTCAAATATTGTCAGAGATTGATTCATACTCTTCTTTAGGGATTAGCCTGACGACGTGGAATGAGTCCGTAGCTTTGTTTTTCTATCACAAAAAGAGAAGGGTCGCGCCGTCCATTGATGTATGGGTGGTGGATGACACTACTGTTGACGGTGTTAAGCGCGCTTGTTCTTCCATTAAAAAACTTAACTGTTGGACCCCTCGAGGGAATAGGGATGCCATTGACATTCTGGAAGGAGGGAGCAGCGTGGGTTTGATCTCCTACAACCTTCGCACCCGAAAGCTTACGAATCTTACAATCGATGGCGTGGGGCACATGCAGTTTGGTTTCAGTACGAGGAAGATAAAGCTTGGTTGCAGAGTTTACTCTCGTGGGAGTTCTTCCATGAGTTAGATTATGGTTGCCCAAGATTATGAACAAACTTAGGTTTGAATTGGAGCTCCTTTTGTTAGTTTAGTTAGACGTGTGTGCGATCTGTTTGGACACTGATGAGTAAAGAAAGCAGCCTATAGTTGTGTAAATACAACTCGGAATTTGGAGACCAAGAAATGCATTGTAATTTTTTTTTCTAAAAAAAAAAAAGACACTCTTTGTATAATGTTGTATGAGGAACGCAAGCTTATCGCTTTCGAAAGCTGTATGGAATGATGTTGCAACTAATTTGATGAGATTGATTTGTGTGGATAAATTTATCCACCAATTTCTAGTTTTTGGACATAGTTCCAGAAAAAAGTATTAAGAAATGCCAAAAGTTTATTTATTTATTTTTTCTTTTCAAAATATGAAATTTGCTTTGCTCTAAAAAATAAAAATGTTATCAAGTTTTGAGTAATCTCTATTTTGGTGCTCTTTCACAAGATGAAGTTCCAAATTTCTCGAGTAGAATACCTAGGGAAAAAAATATTTTCTTACAAGTAAATAAAATTTTGCAGAATTTATTTAAATTACCTGCCAACTGGAAAGGCTGTGTTAGCAATGCCAACTGATACAAAACTTGGATCTTCAAGGGCAATGATTTCCATTCTTTTTTTTATAAAAAAAAAAAAGACAAAGAAAAAAGGAGGTAGAGCAAGGTAAATAATACTCGTAAATAATACCAACATGTTAAACGTGTTTTTAATTCATTTTTAATCCTTTGTGAAAACATATAAACGACCGCAAGCATCAAGAAGTCTACAAGTTTGGCCACCAATGATGCCTAAATGGTAATTGCAAAACTATTAAGTTGTAAAGCGCAATTATTGCTCTGAAGATTATTGTCTGAGAAATCTGCCTACCCAGTACAACAACAGAAAGAGAATGTAGTCTCACATAGAGCCAAACCTTCTATACAAATTTTGCATGTCCGTTTTTTATTTGATTTCTTTTATACGATTTTATTGCTCTTGGCAATATAGAATTAGGTGTCAAATCCTTAACAAAAACATGATCATCCTTACTGATTAATGATAATGTGTTTATGCCACAAGTGTCATCGTTCTCAAGCACAAATTGGGATAGAACATTTTGAGATAATTTTTCAAAAGAAAATAAGGATAAAAGTTGTTAAAGATTTTCTCTTATATAAAACTTAGCTGCCAAGATGCATTGGGACATTAGTTTGATTTCGGAGTCAACGGAGCTGGAGCCAATATGCACAGCTTTGTGGTGACCAAACCCGTGACAAAGCTAACTACTCACTGACGACTCACTCATTTCCTTTTAATAGAATTTTCAACAAGGATGATTATAGGCAAAAATAATCACAGAAATTATGCTGCCTTTCATGCACTATAACAGCTGTTACAACTATCCTACATACGTATTCTACATTATTGTCCTCCTAAAGATGTTTCAGAATTCTTCACCTCCACGGGCAATAAATATCACAGAAAACGATGCTATCAAGTTACCTGGATTCAATAGCGTGAGTTTCAGAGCCTCGTAGAAAGGAACGGCGCCACCATATCTGGAAGGCTTTGCTGAGATTAGGGCATTCCGTGCCGTGCTTGGAAAAATTTCGAAACCATTCCATAAACAGCAGATACTGCTGCTTCAAGGGAAGGGTAAGGAGTGCCTGACCCATAGCTTCCTCCAACACCTTTGTGCTAAGCCCCTTTCTACAACGTTGCAGCCAACCGAAGTCTGACAGCATTGGGCCAAACCATGCTTGGAGAAGCCCTGATCTTGATTCTGTCCGGCAATGTAGTTTTCTGGTTCCCAGAGCAATGAATAATATTGCTGAAACCCGACTAAGCTCATACCTCACCATTGGAGATGCATTCTCATGCATTTTAAGCAGTTCTTCCTGATTTGCCCACATGTCCACAAACTCCTCAGCCATTTGCCGATCGAGCAAGATTTCTAGCAGCCAGTTTATATTATCGACTTGTCTTGATATCCGTTCAATCAAAGGCTTCCGTGAATCCTTCTTCACCAATTTCTCAGGAGAGACAGTTTCAGAGGTCTCCTCGAACAGGATGACAAGTGAATCCAAACAAGATTGGCAGATAGCATAAATATCCTCCTTATTGAGATCAGGTTGGTCCTTCTCATAGACTGAACTTTTGCAAAGAAGACCTTTAACTAATGACTTTAACTCATTCCTCGCCATCGCATCTGTACTGGAGGTGATAGACCAAATCAATTGTCTGCTTAAATTTTGTTCGGAATCCGGTGAATCGAGCAAATAAAGTCTGGCCAAGATGTCTCTGGTTGTCACATCATCAAACTTGAACCTTGTAAAGAGATCCCTTAGTTTCTCCTCTTCTTCCTCGGTCCAAGGAACAGCCTCAAGATACTTTAAACAGGACAAAACACCTTTAGAGAACATGATACCTGCTGACACCTAGCAACAATACAAAAAGACCTCGTTAAAGTTACAAATCAAATTAATCTTCCTTTTTTTTTAAAATGATAAAACGAATCCAGTTAATACTTCATTCATCACCCAAAAGAATAAGGGTATTCTTTGAATTTCTAAATATTTTGATTAAATATGGAAATGAACCAATGATTTTAACAAACTTTATCAATAGTGTGAATCACAGCATCACATATGCCACGTGAAAAAAAAAATGGTGAAATACATAGTTTGAATTAGATATGCATGCCACCTACGGAGGTTGTTGAAACCTTGAATGGCGGAAATTTATATACTTGTCCATTTATCAGTACAACATAACAATATCAAAGTCATACCCTGACTTCTGAGAGGAGCACAGATTTGACTTGGAAATTGTATAGAGTAGCAATCTCTACCTAATGAATTCATCTTGAAAGTCATAATAAACTCCAGGAACAAAGATAATAATTTACATAAGGAAGACAACTGAAAGAAGTATAGATTCTTCAGTGTGCGTGTTTCTACACATCTAACCCCCCCCCCCCCCCCCCCCCCCAAAAAAAAAAAAAAAAAAAACAGAGAGAGAGAGAGAGAGAATCAAACTTACATCACTTCTAGCTATTTTCATTACGCAATACCAAAAGCTTAGTGTTGAAAAGGAAGATCCAAAAACAGAAGACTTATAAAAACTTCATAAGCTTCCACACAATCGAAAGAGCCATACGGCCCGCGATATGAGAAACTGGGTTAATAGATTTGGAAAAATACATTGACCCAATCAGTAAAGCGACTTCAATATTCAAATTGATAATTGACGAGAATCTGTTATCCCTGTCTACAAATCACGCAACTGAATCCACAACCACATAGAAGTCAGAACTACAGAGTAACTGGACTTGACATTTCATTCTGGTTTACTCAAACAAAAACATCGAGAAAGGGTAGAGTAATTGGTTTACTATGTTTCTTTGTTTAAGATTCACACCTTTAGAAGTCCAGAACTGCAAAGTTGATGGCGGTCAATGAACTTCTATTGACTAACTTTTGAAACATCAGTTAGAGAGTGGAATTAGATTTTGGTAAGTTTGAAACCATCAAAGCATCTAAAAAAGGGAAACATGTCCAAATGCTTATGTTGACTTAACATGTCCAAATGCTTATGTTGACTTAACATGTTCAAATAACTTTCAGAAAACAATACTTCTCCAAGCAGAAGAAAAGCTGCAGAGAGAGAGAGAGAGAGAGAGAGAGAGAGAGATGGAATTCAAAAGAAAACAAGAAAAATGAAAAACTAGTAATGTGAATAAAAAGATTGGAAAATCACTGTCATAATGTACATATTACTAATCCCCCAAAATAAAAGAAACCATTTTTTTACTCTCTTTGCCTTGATAAAAGCTAAAGTTTCCAATGTAATAAAGTCAGTTAGTCCAAAAAAACGAAAAAATAAAAAAATAAAAAAAACCCATCAATTTAAGAAAGAAAAAGAAAAACACCGATAGCTCAATGAAAAAATAACAAAGCACTGACCTCAAGCACATCAATAGCTCGAAAAACTCCGATCTTGAGAAGGCGGTTTGTGATATCATCTTCCTCAAACATAAGCTCAATCGTTTCTCTGAACATTGCCAAGTTCTCCACCTCGGGAACCTCTATTCGACACATTTTCGACCCCGAAGAAGACGCCATTGACGTCCCCTTCCTGTATTCCTCTATCAATCCCGCAAATACCTCCGAATTCGCGCACAAAACCTCCGAGTTCAGCTCCAGAACCAACAATCCCCCCTTCTTTCCCCTCAAATTCAGTCTCACATCAAACGCATTGCCTCCGCAACACGAAGATTTCTCCGGCTGGGGCCTGAACCTCTCGCTTGGAGCCCTAAAGCTCTCAGATCTCGCCGGCGGAGCGGAATCTACGGCCGCCGGTGATTCAACAGCCATTTCCTGGATCGAATCAACCGTAGGATCGGAATCGATCGGGGAAACCCTCCCCGGAGACAAGATCCGGCGAGGATCGATCCGGCCGACCAACCCTAACCCCGATTTGGAACTCTGAGGTGAGTTGGGGACCGAGTTACTACTGTGTAGCTTCGCGAGGGTCTCGGTCTTGCCGTGGCGAAGCGTCTTGGAATGGTGGATTGAGATGCTGTCGGGGCTCGACGGCGGCACGGCGAACGAGCAGCACCATGATCGGCGGCGAGTGAAGGGATCCCGGCGGGAACTATGTCTCCGGCGAGAGGAATGGTCCATGGGATCTAGCAGAATCTGGATTATCGGAGTCGGAGTCTAGAGAGAGAAAGCGGAAGTGAAGAGAGAGAGAGTGAATGAGTGAGAGGTAACGAGAACGAGGGAATTGGCAATGGCATTCAGCAGGCACTGTGTTTGTTTGTTTGTGGAGAGAGAGAGAGAATATGCTTTTTCTTGTTTTTTTGTTTTTATTTTTGTGTTTTTTAATGATTGATTAGTTTGTAATTTTGTGTTTTGGTGGGAACTTGACTGTTAAAGTGTAGGGAGGTTTTTTTGTGAAGTGTCTTTCTTGGGAATCGCGGGCTTTTGGAGTTTTTGTTCGGTAATGTCGCTAATACCAATACTTGTTTGCCTTGGGTCAAGAATTTCCTTTTTTCTTTTTTTCTTTTTTGAGCTACGGTGAAATTTGTTTCAACTATCATGTCTTAAAGAGTTCCAAAAAAAATACAAGAACGTTTGTAGTAGGAATTATTATTTTATTCCATCGATAATGATTATTATTATTTTAATTGTTTGATTAATTTTTTAAAATATTAATTTATAAGTAATAGTAATTTTATAAATATTAACATATCACATTCTTAAAAAATTAATAACCATTAGATCAACCGCTCTAAATATAATAATAAGAGTTCAAAAAAAAAAAAAACTAAAACTTAACCGATTTCCTGATCAATTTGAGACCATTTTTCGGCTGGAGAAAGACAAAAAAAAAGGGAAGCTCGAAGGATATGATTCCAATCTATAATTAGTAATTAACGTTACATGACTTGTGAATGCTACAATAAGGCTATACCCTAATTGAGACAATAGAAAGTAATTTTTTTTTTCTAAAAAAAAAAAAAGAAAAATAGAGAGTAAAAAGTCTGTTTTCACTGTGTTTGGCATCGATTCAATTTTCTATTCTCGTCATATTTTGAAAAGATTAAAATTAGAGTTCTTTAAAGAGATTTTAAAATCTCTCATCCGATTTATTTTATCTTCGTTTCCTTTTTTTTCCCCCTACAAAAATAATCGTGAACTCTAAAATCTTTCGACTAATCTCCTTATTCTCTCTCTTTCACTTGTTTGTTCCACCAAACAAACTCTAATCACTAAGGGTATATTTGTTTGACCGTATTAAAATACGTATATTATAATACAACGATAAGATATTTGGTGTGACCATCGTATTATATAAACTAATACGAGTAGTAAATTAATACGGTTTATGTCGTATTATTGAATACAGATCATTTTAAACGTATTGTATTGTATTATTTTATAATGGATTAATAACCTTTGTTGAGATTGGGCACGACCAGATATTAGGGTCGGATTGATATAGAGTTATGCCATAACCTATAATTGTTAAAAAATTTAGAGGACACAATGCAAATTTTGTATTTATTAAAAATTACATTTTAACCCCAACACTTTTGAAAAATTACCTTTTTAACCCCAAAACTTTTGCAAAAAATTTACATTTTGACCCCAAAATTATTAAAATTTTGTATTTTAACCCTTATATAATATGTCATGACACCAAACACTGTATTATATTGTAATAATATAACACAATACAATATAATACAAGCTACTAAATATGACCTAAAGTACTCGTCGGGAAATTAAAAAAAATCAGTGTATTGTTATGTTTTAGTTTTGTGATGGGATAATCTTGTCGTATTTGAAGACAGGAAGATATGGTCTCTTGGCAAATTGTTATTAGTATTCAATTGTGTGTGCATTGAAGAGAGTTATTATTTACCCTTAAGAATGTATGAGTCTTAATTTTTACTAATTACTCTTAATAAATATCTTTTTATTAGTATAATTATTTGACTAAAAAAATAAAAAATCAAGAGTAAAAAGTAAAAATTCTCACTTTCAAAGTATATTTATCAAGATTACCATTTACTTAAATGTTTTAATGATAAGACAAAAGGGATTTTTCTTTCTGTCCAATCATCGTATTAGCACATTTTTCTCCGTGGCTTTGAGGCTTTTTTTGTTGCTCTTTAATATTATCCCATTGCGGGCCGGATCTCGTCGGAGTTAGGGACGGCGAGGGGACTTTTGTTGCGTGAAAGAGGGTGGCTGGGGAGCTCCAATGCACAACCGACGGACATAATTTTTACCCTAGGAATTTTTTTAGGGAAGCCAAAAAAACATAGTTAAAAAAAATGAATGGAATTTATTTAGCAAAGAAAAAGGCATTTCAACACTTAAAGCGGATAAATTTGTCATTTCATAAAATACAATACCCCAATGCATGATATCTCGCCTTTCCGTCCAATAAGTTAATGAAAGGAGTGAAGTTGATAGAATATCAAAGTTAAATGGAACAAATGATGCAAATTGAAATTCATAGGGCATGTTTTCACATTGTTAAAAGTTTAAGGGCTAAAATCTTCATATTTACTTTTATATTCGTTCTTTTTGTGGGTGTGTGTGTGTGTGTGTTTTGTTTAAAGAGAGATTTTTTCTTTTTGTTGGAACAAGATATGCCGATTCACGTGTCGGATGTTAATGTAAAGTCCTTTACTTTGCTTGTGGACTTATAATGACTTGATGCTTTCTTCAACATGCTTTTACTCGAATTTTTTTGTTAGAATATTGTGCATTTTCTTACTCAACCCCCCGAATTGATTCTCCCAAAAGGTTGTCACTCAAATTATGTGCGTCCTTTTCTAGTTTTCTTAATTAGACCCTTTTTTTTAAAAAAAAATTCCAGAACTTTTTTGCATTATGTTAAGGCCTTCGGACAAAATGAGGTAGGTAAAAGGATAACCCTCTATTTTTTTAATATAAAATGAGATTGTATTACTAAATCACAACCATATCAGCACTTACAAACTCAGTAATAGAATTAGGAAAATCTTCTAATCAGAATAAATCAGTAGCATGAAAATGCAAAATTGCACAAGTGTATGAGCTTCCATATTTGCACTACGAGAAACACAGCAACGCACGCCACCACCTACAAGTTCCATCAGATTCCTAATGTCTTCACAAATTATACCTTCCATAACTAAAAGAACATGATCATTTATCGCGCAGATTGCATTAATAGAGTCTCTTTCCACTATTTCCACTTTCAAACCACTATCTTGAGCGAAAAAAAAATTATGCGACTGCATTACTCTCTTTTTTTTATTTGTTTTTAACAGAATTTTCAATATAATGGGTGAAGTAAGAAAAATTTAATATTCAGACAATAAAATAAGAGTTTTTAAAATTTATATAGCAAAATAAAAATAACTCTAAAATTTAAAGACACTAGTAAAAATATCATTTTAAAATATCTCAATTTATTAGAAAGCCTAAATTCCATTATAGTATCAAAGACCAACTCAAATTAGCGACCAAATCAATATAGGATTGACACCTTAGACTGTACGGCCATCTAAAAAAGCTTTAATATATATAT